GTATGTTACCGTAACAACAATAATAATAAAAATCACAAAAAAAAAATTTATAAACGAAATATTTAGCAAAAATATTGTAATATTGTAAGTTTAAATGTATTGTTACTACCAAAAAACAAAAACGAATAATAATAATAATAATAATAATAATAATAAAAAGAAACAAAAAAGTAAAAGAAAATTAGACAAAAAAGATATTTTAAAAAATTTAGTAAATCAATAAAAAACAAAATTAATTAATTGTTCATCTACCTTTCAACAAAATAACAACAACAAAAAAACATTGGTTCCCTGTACCTACGTGATACACTTTTTAAAGATTCGAAATATGTACAAAGGGTGTTTGGAAAAGGCGTCGAATTTATTTCTTCAAATTAAAGACATTTCCCCGGAGGGAAAATGAGAATAATTTTTTTTGTTTCATTGCAAATCCGATTGCATATGGAATGCAATCAATCAGTCAGGCAATTCAGGCAAATGGGTACTGCACTGCTTATCTACCCTACAGGGGTCCCTTTGCAAACTCTTCCTCGCTCTTTGATCGGTAGTTTTGCCAACAAAAAAAAATGGAAAGGAAATAGAACGTCTTTAACGATCGCTCTCGCTTTCCAACCAACGCCCATAGGCGCCCGAAGTTACTCACCACAAGAGCACACTCATGCTGTGAAATTGGAAATACTGAACGATAAGAGCTTATGGAACAAGAGCGAACTCTCATTTTATGCTATGTCACATTGGCCATTGGCCAAACGGTTGTTTTGCAAGAAAAAGTTTCTGATCAGTTACGAAATTGTTTGACAAGTCAATGAACCGAAAAACCGGAAAGAAACTGATCGAATTGATTAGTGCCACTAGCGAATTACCCAGTGATGCAAGAACAAGAGCTTGCAATGGGTATCGCAACGAGGAATTCGCTCCCCACATAAATGAATCGCCTGCACTGTGCGATAAAATAGAAAATCTCGTCCCTTCGCTTAGCAAAATAATGCCTTTAATTCGAAAAGGAAATTCGACACTTTTCTTGAAACATTTTGCTTATATATGCTGATATATTATATATATATATATTTATACATATATATATATGTATATATATGTATTTCCTTAACTTTTTCTAATTACTTTGAAAAAGGCTTAACAAAGTTTACCTTTCATTTTATTTTTTTATTTATTTATTTTTTTATTTTTATTTTTTTTGGTTATAATTTATACTTAAGGAAACTCTATTACGTCTGGCGAGACATCATGCATAATCGTGCGTTAAATGGAAGAATTACATAATAATATTCATCATTCATATATTTATTCATATATAATTAATATTAAAAAGAAAAGAACAAAACAACCATTTGGTTATCTTTATGGTAATGAAAATTAAAAATATTATAAATAAAATTTTAAAATTGTTTTGTGTAATTGTAAAAAAAAAAAAAACAAATGAAGTTTTATTATAATGCTCTTCAGTTAAGAAACTGAGTGCGTATTATTCCCCGTACGATTCCTCTATGATCGGTTCATTTTGTCATATGGGAATGAAAAACGAGTTTTACACCCGATTATATTAACCTTATAAGTGAAATATTTATTTATTTTTATATGTTCTTTCTTGGCTTGGATTAAAGGCTAGAAATCTTGACATTTGTGGAGAAGAAAATCGATCAAAAGTAACCGCAAAGCTCAAATGAAACGATTCAAGTATACGGCTTTTCCAATTCAACAGTTTTTCGCAACATTTCTCTTTACAATCGATCAGTAATTTTGTTTTTTTCCCAATGAGAGATTTCATCATTTTCCACCTTCGGCCAAACTATGCCGGTGTACCAATTTTCAACCTATATCTTGAACACAAGAAAACAAGTGGACAGGTGGACGGACGGACAGATAAGCTTAGATGTAATAAAAGATGGATCTATCTCAAGTCGTTCTGCGTATTGCACACACCCGCACAAACTTAGTACATCCGTGTATCACATATAATATAGGCTGTAAAAACAAAAAAAAAAAACCAAACAAAGAAAAAACTTTGAGGATCACGTGTTTTATTACACTCTACGCCACTTGTGGTACAAGGTACATTAAGTATACGCGGCCATATGTATCAACCAGAATGGCTTAAGATACATCCACCTTTTATTATACCGAAAATGATTCTGATCCGATCTAAGCTTGTCTACCCGTCTATCTGTTTGTCCATCTGACGAATGTCCATTTGTGTTCAACTTGCAGGTAGCAATTTTTGATATATTTTCATTTAATTTGGTACACTGACGTGCTTCGATCCAATAATAAACACTATTGAGAATGGTTCGAAGCAGTCCATTTTTTCGACCAGTCCCCGTGTAAAAAAATTGCAATTTTCAAAATTTTTCGCCTAAAGCCGCTGAGTAATAATAGTTTGTCATTCGAAATTGCTGCGAACAGCTTTCTTCCGCGGGGGCAAATTTTTAAACATCGTCTCATATAACCGTTCCTACGAAACCTGAATCTTTATATGGCAAAGAGATCGAATTTTGCAATATTTACATCACCATGCCCACGGAAACGACGTCTTCAAACAGCGAAAAGGTCCAATTCCGAACATTTCAAGTCTTGGCGGTAGTTAGTTTGGATCAGACAGTTGTACGTTTATTAAGTTTTACATGTATTAAGTTTTAAGTAAATTTCATGTCATGTGATGTTTCGGGCAATACGTGGTTGTTCGTAAAAAGCATGCCTTTGTGTAGAAATAACGTACAAATTTTGGGCGTAATATTACCGAAGCAAGCGAATAATTGTATTAGGCAAAGTTGTGTACGATATCTAAGGGTCAGCCTTGCCCGACTATAACTTAGATTATCTAGTAACATAAAACACAAAAAATATGTCTGCTAGAGTTTACCAATATTCTTGAACTTATTGAAGTGTAAACCTTTAAATATTCCGCAAAAACATTAAGCGGACTTTCCTCACTCACACAATAAGCGTCTCATTCAAGCATTCTCCACGTCTGTGCTGCGAACGTGCGAAAACCAAAAGTGACTCATTACAGTTTTTGGCGATAGTTTTTGTTTGCATTTTCTCCTCATTTTGGTCTTGAAATGTCTTCTATTTATATGTTTAAGTTTATTCCTATCGCGATACGTCGACGATGATATATCTAAACACGCTAAAACACGCTTGCGTCAAAATTTGTTTTATTCTGTAGAAAATGAATTTTCCCAAAATGTGGGAAAACTTATAAAAGCAAATAAAGATAAAATAAAGGGACTTCGGAAGAAACTGCACTGAGGCGGCAGGTGATTGACAGCTGTGGGAATTGAAGTTGACTTTATTAAAAGCAATCAAAGCGAAAACAATGCTTCATTTTGAGTCGGTGCGTCATTGGGTTTTCTCCGTTATAGCATTTGCTTGACGGTAAACGAAAAGTGTAACAAAAAATGCCCCGGGAGAGAGTCAACAAAAATATTTAAATGAAATATGACTTTTTTCATGACATGTCTCAAAACGTTTATAAGCAAAGAATTTACTCAGGTCGGAATACTTGCTTCGGTACATTTAAAGCGAACGACTGCAAACGACGAAGAATTCCATCACAAGGATAATTTCGTGTCAATACTTTTCTGTAATCGAGCTGCTCTTCGCCATTGCGATTGCAAGGACCTAATCTGGCCAATTTTAGGAAAAATATATAAAACGAAAAGAGTTATTGTAAAGACAATATACATAAAGGAAAGACAGATTGGGCTGCATTTTTGCACACATTTCAAATTATAGGCTTAGCCATTTTAACATACATACAGCCACGAGCATATAAATAGCACAAATTTAAACGAATGCTTTAGTTTAATAAACATAATTGCAGCTGCATCGCTATGTAAGTAAAGCATTGTCTGGCGCTACTATAAAGAAGACTTGAAAATTTGTTCCTATTTTTTTCTCTTGTTCTAGCGATTTACAGAGTGCGGAGTGTGTTTCACAAATCCATCCTTAAAAACAAAAACGGCTGCATATATACTCGCAACTTTTAAAGAAAACATTCTTAATTTATTGACTTTCTTCTATTCATTCAATTAGAAGGGGGAAAAAAATGATTGACATACATACATTATCGAAATACTTGAAGAAAGTAGTGGCCAATGTTAAAGCCATGGTTCAAAAAAAGGAAAAAAGAAAAAAACAAATCAGATTTAAATCCTTTCGAGCAACTGGCAAAAGGTATAACGGGAAGTTTGGTACGAACGTCCATTTTAGACGGGTAAACAGGAAGCAATCCGTTCTGTCAAAAGTGAATATCTCCAAGCGATTGTCATTAGCCAGAAGGCATATCGTTGACAGCGTACAATTCTGGAGAACCTTATGATGGAATAACGAGATTGGGGATCCTTTGAAAGTCAAAAACACATTGCGAAGTTTACGTAGAAAAGCACAATATATATAATAGATATAGTGTAAGGATCTGTGACACATCAAAAATATCCATTAGTACCTAATGTTTAAATTTTTCAAAAATAAGTAATGACATCAGTCCATACGATATCTTAGGCTAAAATAAATATGCCGTTAGCTTACAAAAGAACCTGTAAAAAAACGGACATAAGGACACAACAAAAATAACTCGTACTTTCTAGTCTAAGCATGTGTAGAGGCTTTTTGTGCCACCTTCAGGTTCAAAGAATTTTCACACATATCACGTTTTCTTGTAGCCTTTGTAAGTTTTTACTAAAACATGGTACACCATTTATGTGTCCAAGATTGTATACGTCCCATTCGAAGCACAAATCGATTAACTCCACAAAACAAAAAAGGTTCAGAAATTCGATAGTGGGTTTTGCTGCAGATCTCCTTATATTAATGGCATTAAATTACGAATTTTCATTATAATCACATTCGAGTTTGCCCTGCAAACTCTATAAATGTTACTTTTGTGTTCATGGCTGAATTTTCTGCCCTGCAAACTCTGTAAATGTTCCTTTCCTGTTAATGACTGAATTTTTTGCCCTGCAAACTCTGTAAGCGTTACTTTTCTGTTAATGACTGAATTTTCTGAAAAAACGTTGATCGAAAGAAAAGACAAAAATTTGTTCTAATGCGGCCATTCGATCGACAGCTATATAAATGAATTTCCTTTTTAATTCAGAAGAATCCGCAGAAAATTGTAAACGTTTTCTGGAGCCAGACTTTCTGTTGTTAAATCTCATTAAAGAACCGCTTGATGATTCGTTGTTTTCTACATCCACACTATTGCTAGTCTCACCAGTCTTGATTATAACGCTATAATATGCATTTCTTTAAAACCAATTCACAAGTACTTGATTCTGCGGCAACGCGTTTGCATCGTGCGTTGAGCGTTATTCACTCATATGCCAAATTATGGTTCGATTGTACGTGAAAAATGCTAGTCGAAGTCGTCTACAACTGCCGTCTTTTGCTCCCACTCGAACAGCTTTTTTTTTATTTTCTTTTTAAGAAGACATTTTGCAGCTTTTTTATTACACTCATGTGAAAATCTTTATGGTTTTACCTTTACTTTGGACTTTTTCCTCATTTTCTTCCCAGAAAGAAGTCTATTATCTCGTATTTCGCCTCTCTAACGGAACATCTGCTATAAAACAGCTGAGTTGAGTATGATAGAAAAAAAAAAAAAAAATTATTTAATTTAGAGAAGAAATTTTTCAATTAGTTTACCAGAGCGTTGCATTTCCGCGGTGACTAACTCAGAAATTAATTAAAAAAATTAATTCATGTGAAATTATAAAAAATTACGAATAAACCTGAGAAAGTGGACAAAGTTCAAAGTTTGGATAAAAGAATGAAAATTTGATTGCAAAAGCATTAAACTATTGAGGCGAGCAGGAAATTATTAAAAAAAAAAAAAACCCCAAAAACAAGAAAAGAGAAGGGAAGGAAGTCTTCAATTAAAACAAAATAAGTTTGCGTGAGAGTACAAGAGATCTCATTAAAACTGGAGTCGCAAATTTGTGCAATATTTTTAATGCGAGAAAAGTATGCATTTATATAGAAAACGAAGAATTTTCCAATACTTTTTACTATAGAAATAATAATTTTTAACTATTATCGATTTACTTAGCAGCGACTATGTCGAATCCGTCAGTGTTGACCAATAATAGCACTGCAGGTACGTCAGTGCCGACGATTAGCCCTCAGGAATCAGCTTTACATTCGTTATGTAAGCATTTACTTAAATCGCGATTATTTCGCGGCTTCTATGAACAAAGACGTTACGTGGAGCAAGTGCGGACTTATCGCGATATAGTCAGCTTGCAACATACAGAGAAAGATCTTAGAAAGCTTTTACGAGACATTAGTCAAAAGCTACAGATGTTCTATTTATCTCAAAACCAACGAATGTGGATAGGTGTCACGAATAGTAACGCAATAGGCGTTAGTCAATATCCTGGACAAACCTTGGATATTTATATTTGGGTGGAATTGGATGAGCTAGCTTTCGGTCAATATTGGTTTACTATAAAAACGGTTAAGTTTCGTGAAAATGAAGTTATGCTAAAATTGAAAATGGTGCGTCCTGTTGAATTCGAAATAGCAGAAAAGCACGCCTCTTTCAGAAGAAACCTATCGCAATCAGTACAATTAATTGATAAATTTACTGTTAGAACGGAATCGCAAGATCCCTCCCTGGATCCACTTCAAGTCTCGAAACCTGTTGAATGGAAGGACTTTCGATCGCTATTTCGGCAATGGGGATTTGCTATAAGAGGAAGCATTTATGAGTTTATGGCTGAAGATATAAGCAAAAAAAATATAAAGAATCTTCTGCGTTTTTTAATTTTGCTAATTTTATCCCTATTATCGGGTCTTTTAATGACATTGAAATTCATTGGCATTTTCATAATACGTTTCATGTTGGAAATAACTCGCTTAACTCATGTACTAACACCAATTGTATTAAAAATTATCGATGTTTTCAATAAAATTATAGGAGGTTTTTTTATATTATTGGCCATGATTTGGAAGGACGTCGTAGTGAATCGCGGTCGACAGCAACCGCCCAATGAGTTTCGGTATCTACAGCTTAATTCGGTGTACAAAAGCTTGACATATAATACCGGAGAAAGGCGGCAAAATCCCGGTAACAACGTTAACCGTAATGAATGACTGACATTGAAAGGCAAAAAAGATCTTGAAATTTAATTTAATGATCGACGGAATCATAGCTGAAATAATTTATTTCAAAATAAAATATTTAAAGCTATTTGAAATTGTGTAAAATTTTCGAACGTTAAAGCAGAAAAAACAAAAAAAGGAAGATAAAGACGAGTACATCTTTTATAAAGTAAGAGAAAAAATTTGCAATACATGCTGAAAATTTTCGGAAAAAGAAAGTATTTTAAACATGTTTGCAAATTTTTCACTTTATTTTATAAAAAATTTTTTAATAAATTATTCATAGTTTTTGTTATCGTATTTTGTAAAAATATACACTAAATAAATTTAGCAAAATTTTTATGTACATCAACACAATATTTAAATTGTAAGCAATAAATGAAAAGATTTCGAATAATTTTAAATGTTTATGAAATGTAAACAAAATTTAAAAAAAACCCGTTCCGTTTATTCGTTTTTATTTATTTATTTTTTTTTTTTTGCAAACAAAAGTGAGATAACAATAATAATAATAATATAATTTTGTGCATCGAAAAATTTTTTATTAATTAATTTTCATAAATAAAGGATGTAAAACATATAACCTCGTTTTCTTTAAAAAACAATTTGCATGATTTTCAAAAGGTGCGGGGAATTTTCGCGAAATAAACTCATTGGAGCCTGAATAGATCTGGTAATTTAATCACAGCCTACAACGACCAGCAGGATGGAAGGAAGATAGGGCCATGTTTTTTTGTACCGTTCTAAGTTTGTGTGTCTGCCCGTCAGTCCACCTTATTTTGTGTGCTTGGGCCGAAATTCTTGAAATATCTTTTAATCCAAGCTCAAATACTGTTGAAAAATCTTCTGTTTGGACCACTTTTTCGAGCCCATTCTTTTGCAAAGTAGTAACTTTCGAAAATTGGCAGGTTTGAATAATTGGAAAATAAAAAAATTCAAATTATTTTTCGTGCATAACCAGAAATTATGTTTGCGGAGGAAAACTAGATAGACTACGGAATAAACCTGACTCTTAGGGCCCAGGTTTGGGGAATATCATGAGATGTGGTACAGCTTCAATTTAATCCAATTATAAATGCGAAAAAAAACAGCTCAAACCTATATTGTTCAAACGTCAATATCTAAGTCCTCTGTACCTGGAATTTCGGGCAATTGAACGCGTCTTGTATATTTTATGAAGCAGCCAATTTCAACGGAACGAATTTATTCGTATATCTAAGATTTTTAAAAATTTCGAAATATATTCTGTAAGCACAAAATTTTAAAAAGCATTTGAAAATTTGGATATTAGCTTGATGCGAATATACTTAATGTATTGATTTATAAAAATCATGTATAAAAAACATTCATATTTTAATTAAATACAATGAATGTCATAAGATAAACGAAGTGATACTACTTGTTGAGTTGTTTTCACGCTAAATGCTGACTTCTCTTGACATTCTGAAATTGTTGTTATTACTACCGTTTGTTATCAAATTTCGAGTTATCGAAAGGAAGTCTCAATAAAAATTCCACTTATTTATTTATATTAATAGAGAATGACTTGTGGCAACGCCAGACGCGTGATGTTGATCTGGCAATATCTCTGAACGAAATCAAAAGAAAATTGAAAGTTTTATAATTTAGATGTCTGCCAGGAGGAGAAAATAATTAATTTTAAAATAGTTCAAGAAAAGAAAAAAAGGAAACAATAAAGACATTTACAATTGAATGTTTTAGTGAAAAGTAACTGCAATCCTATTAAAAAAGATGCTTAAAAAAGTGTTCAAACAACCATGTCGAATGGATTAGTGCCATTGGTTGTATTGTTTCTATCAATTCTCGGGTTTTTGTGCAATAATTGTTTCATTTTTTTAATGTAAAAATGCAAGCATACAAATAAAATCAACAATTCTTCCATATAAGATGTTTTAGCACAGGTGTGAGTGTGTTACACGGATAAGCGTGTATTTGTTTTTGTTTCTCATATTTACGAAAAGAAAAACCAGAAAAAGTTAGTTCACAATAGTGTTTGTTACATGATTTGAGAATTATCTTACTGTTTAATCTGTCGCTCGCTCTCTATTCATCGCTCTTTCTTTTTTTTTTTTTTTTTATAGAAGCTCAGCTGTTTCCTTTGACAGTTTTTTAAAACCCTTCACGTCGTGCAAATATTTATAAATATATCTTAACGATTACATTTAGTTAAAAAAAAAACGATGATAATTAACAAATTAATTATTGATTTCATTTGTTGCTAAACACGCATTATACATTATTACGAAAGTGTGAAAATTTATTTAGAAGAGGGAGAGAGCAAAATCCAAGTTTTGTTGTGAAAAGTAAAAAAAAAAAGTGAACGCATAATCATCATTTTTATATCTCAACCCATCCAGCCATCACACAACAAAAGTGACCTCGTCTCTGTTTTGTTTTTGTTTTTACATTTTGTCTTTTCTTCTGCAATATTTATACAAAACAAAAAAAAAAAGAGAAGAAAAAACAAAAACAATAGGAGGAAATACTTTTACATATTTGTATGTACGTCATATATACCCTCCAGCACTACACTCCATACACGTAATTATTGCATTAGGCACCAATGTTTTATGGTGTTGGCGTTGTGTTTTGTTTAAATGCATAATCGTTTGCCTTAAAAAGAAAATATTGCCATTTCATATGCTAAAAATTGAATTCAATCAACGTGTGCGTTTGCTGGTGCTGCTGCTGCTTTCATAACAATCGCCCACGCTCTCTCTATTCTCTAGTGTGGTGTGGTGGAGGTGGTGGTCTTCTGTTATCCTTTTTTTATTTTGCGGAGATTTTTTTTTAAAAATAATTTTCTGCATTCAAATTGCACTGACTAATATCAATGGCTGATTTTGATGCTATCTACGAGGAAGATCAATTGGAGGAGCACTATGAGGATCAGACAGTAGCCCCTGTGGCAGAGCCAATTATTATACGTGGGGCTGGCAATATGACAGTGTAAGTATATTTAATAGTCACTCGAACAATATTCATTCTAATGAGATGACGGAAGCGCAACAAGTTTTTCATAAATTTTAAAATTCTTTAAATGCATTTATTTTCCTATTTTCTTTATTCAGTTGCAAATTATTCGAATAACTCAGATGGCGGTTTTTATGCTTTTAAACTTTTGATATAGAGCAAAACCAAATTTGCATAATATTACGTGAATTTGTAAAATAATAATGCATTAAAGTGCAGGCAGTGTTAGAATGAAACCGCATTTGTGTAATAAACGAGAGGAGGCTTAGTTGGGCGAAAACACTTTTCAGTTCAATTCATTCCTTATTTTTTACCAAAAGATAGGGATGTACAGGTGCTGGAGATATATTAAACTTATGCGGATGTAAGCCACATTCAGAAAGATTTTACATATTATTATAGTGATACATAAACGTATATGTCGGACTTTTCGAAACATTTTAATGAAATTCCTTGCGTTGGAACGTTTTGATCAAAGAATTAAGCCTGTATAGGGGATTTCCCCTGTGTCGTGCGCCATACAACCAATTTCAGAACGAGGGAATGGAAACGCTGCGAAAGGCGTGTTCCCTTTACAGGGCTTAACCTCCTCTTATGAAAATGTCCTTATTTAACAAATATTTGCCGTTTTTAATGAATTGTAGGTTTTCCATACACTCGCATACAATTAGTCTCACAAAAAAAGAGGTTTTATTCGATAATCAGGTCTGCTGTTAGCATTTTATGAGAAAATTGATAAAGACTATAAATTATTTGACAATGGAAGCATTGAGATCACATTTTGGGCACGATCTCAATCCGTTGTCATTGTGGTTAAAATTTGCAATTGCTTATGGAATCCGTAACTTCAGATTTTAGTAGGCGAAGTGAAGTATTTAAAGACCGGCCGGGAATGCATGCCAAAGACACTTTAAAATATATCAGTGTTAGATATCAGGTAAATTTCGCCATGTCTCCCTGCTTCTGTCTTGCTTGCGTTTTTGCAATGCTCGCGTTTGCAAACATTTCAACGAAAAGTTACGGCAGCCATAGGTCTCGAAGGTAGTTTGCACTACCATCGTCTATAAAAAAGTAGGCACGAGCAGTGCTCGCAATTCGTAATCTGCATCTAGGCTGCATCCTCTTGGCACAAGCACCCTCTATTTAAAGGTAAGCGTAAGAAGCGCTCGTAATTTTCTATTCAACGTAGAATGGCTATACAAGAGTAGGTGTAAAGCATTGCCCGTAATTTGCAATGTAATGTAGACTGCAGCCTCTTGCCACAAGCATCCTTTACTTAAAGGTAGGCGTAAGGAGTGCTCCTAATTTGCAATCTAAGTCACATACTGATGTGACTTTGATGGATAAAAACATTTAAAAATTCAGTACAAGGGTGGTTTGGTATGTTATATTCCACAAAGCTGTAGGAAGATTTTAGAAAGATATATAAACTTATTTCCAAAAAAAAAAAACATTTTTGTCTAAACGCAAAAGCAATTTTCATTTTTATTTGTCTTCTCTTATATATATATATATATATATATAATTTTTTGCTTTACAGATTTGGTTTAAGTAATCGCTTCAACACAGAATTCCCATCTGGTCTTGTCTCCCGTGTTGCACCCGAAGAGTTCAAAGCCACAATTGTACGCATAAATGGCATTTTGAAAAAGACGTTGCCCGTCAATGTTAAATGGCTATTTTGCGGCTGTGTCTGTTGCTGTTGCACGCTCGGTTGTTCTCTATGGCCAGTTATTTGTTTAAGCAAAAGAGTAAGAGCAATTTCCTCCAGCAATTGAGATTATTGTAAGGATTAAAAGATTAATTAACAGTTTTTTATTCTTTTATGTAGACTCAAATAACTTTGGACAAATTACTCGAATGGGAGAATAGTCATTTATACCACAAGCTCGGTTTACACTGGCGTCTTCATAAACAGCAATGTGATTCCAATTCCATGATGGAATATGTTATATTAATTGAATTTATACCCAAAACCCCAATTTATCGGCCGGATTAAGGGCGCATTTAGCGTTTTGGGGAAAACTCGTTTTATCTAAGTGGTTTGATTTTTAATTTCTTGTGTTGTTGTCTTGATTGGTTATCATGTCATTGATTTTCTTTTCTTTTTTTTTTTTTAATGAAGAAGGAGAAGAAAAAAAGAGAGATAAATTTGTACAAAAACGAAAGGAAATGCTTATCTTTTAAAGGAATTCAGATTTTATATGTGATGAAAATGTAGATGATTTTAAATTTAAAAACACACGCATCCAAGCACACGTAGCTATAAAAGTTTTGAAGTGAAAAATACATAGGAATCTAGTTTATAGTTATTTGAATGATTTTTTATTTAAGGCTTAGTTAAATCGCTCCTTCAGTTTACTTTTTATGTAAATCGAAACTCATAGTGTCTTATAATTTGTTTTTTATTTTTTTTATTTTATACATAATTCGCTTACTTTAAGGGCAAAATTTGAGTAAAACAAATCTGCTTTTAAGTGCATTAGTTGTAAATAAACTGAAATAACAAATAATTTCATAAAAAAAAAAAAAAAAATGCTGGAATTTTTATGTACAATTTTTATTAATTATTAATACTATCGTGTTTTTTTACTATTACGTTGCGTTATGGGCTTTTTTTTTAACTAAACGCCAAGTTATGCGAAAGTAAGAAAACGTTGAAATGTTTTTAATGCCCATCACCGCAAATTCGGATATACATCTTTTTACTTTTACACCAGTTAACCAGGAGTTTGTGTCAAATGAAACTATGTGACTATGACAAAAATATTATCTAAAACACGTTATTATGGTTTTGTTGCTCCAACTTGCGTTTGGAAAAGTTATGCGGATAAAACCGCCACAACAATCAATTCGACCATAGGCCCAAACTCTGCCGTGGAAAATGTATTAACGGCAGGCTATTTAAAACTTCAACCATAATAGATAACTTACAAAAGATATTGAACAAGATATTTATACAAGCGTGGCCTTGTTTTGTTCGAAAGGTCGGTACGAAAGTAAAAACCGATCGAGAACTTAACATATCAGGGCTTTGCGGATTGTGTGCAATTGTTTCATGTGATGGGCATTAAAGATTCGCTTCGAAGCGAATGCAATTTTCTTACTTCTTCTGGACTAAAACAGGGGCACTTACACAACAATCTCCTTTCAAAATGTATGGCAGATGTGCTTAGTACCGAATTTCGAAATATTTCTCGATTCTTTAACAAAAAATATAAAACAAAAAATAGGACAAAAAGAATCTTTATTTCTCTTTCAGATCGCTTTAAAAGGCTGTAAATATTTGATAATCAATTGTGATTAAATTTAACAAATAAAAGATTAATGAATAAATAGAGGATAAAATCAAGATGTTTATGCCGCATACAAATCAATACAAGGTTATTGTATAAATCCACAAAATGCTGTGTTACACACACATACATACACACACACACACACATACACACACTCAAGCCCACGAAATTAAGGCAGAAAAAAGGAGAGACACTCAGTATTAGATTACTGTTTAACGCCCCATTAAATCAATCAATACAATAATGAAGAAAAAAATTGATAATAAAAGAGAAAATTTGTAGTATATAAATAAAATAATGAAAAGAAGAAAAAAAAAAAATTTTAAAAGCAACTGTAAAAACAAATTAAGTAATAAGTTACAAAAGATTAATGTTCAAAATTAATAAAGGCGTAAGGCTTGTAAAAGAAAAACAACAACAACAATCATTTTCAATTTTCGCTCACTAAACCGGGAGAATATTGCTGATAAACGTTAAAGGAAATATATATTAAATTCATTTAAATAGCAATATAAATTTTCGATCATATTGCTAATTGGCTGTCTATATGAAATATTTCATCATTCAATGAGTGAATAGGATGGCATAAGGATGCCGTCACCATTAACGAATGCATATGATTTTTAGATAGCACCGATCTTCACTCGAAATTTGAGAAAATCTCATCATATTTCGTTTATCAGTTTACAAGTTACAATTGCTCTCGTGGCGATACTCGTATGCTTGTCAAACAACTGAAATATCTGAATTTCGTGGGTGGGATGGATCACTAGAACAGCTGTCATCAGCTGTCACTTGATGTGTTTAAATCTCGACAAGTCAGAATTGATCTTTTCATTTTTGGATACGAATATGTACGTCATTCGCCCGTCATAGATAGGATGTTTAAACGGGCGGATGAATAACGGATACAAGTTCATAATAGAGATCTTTTCATTGTGAGGGAAGGCAGTCAGATATCTACCTTCACTTCTCTTACTCGCTCAGTTACCTTTCCACGAGAGGAATTTAAAAGATTTCGACTGAGATATGCAATGGATTTGTTCAATTGATTAAAGCCCAATCTGGGTTCTGTTTATCGTTCTCGATACCAAATAAACTCGACCGAGTACAGTCGAAAGCTGGCACTGCAAGGAATAGAAAATTTAGGGCCGTCGATAAAGTGAGCATTTTTCTTACTATCGAATGAAAAATTTCTCGGTTGCAGAACCGCCGTCAACTAACATATTTAGACTGCGATCGCGTTCATTCGATATTGGCCAAGATAAACCGATTACTGGTTCACATCGGTGACTGCTTCGTCTTGTTGGAGAGAGATTCTCTCTTTGAGTTTTTCCAGATCTAATTGCAGCTTTTTTTATCTTCGCGACAGTTGAAAGGAGGAATTTCAAAGGAATAGAAGAAGAAGAAGAAGAAGAAGAAAGCTATTTAAATTTATTTATAAGAAATATAAGAAAATTTATTTACTTCGTAAAAGAAATGTAACTTTATTTCCTAAATTCTAATTGAAAATCCTTATAAAAGCGCTATGCCAAGGATTGTCATTTTAATGGGAAAGGAAAAATAATCTACAAATTCAACAAGTCTTTTTTTCGTACATACACTTTCAGGTATGTAAGGAATGATGAAGCATCAAAATATATAATAAGAAATATATATATATATATATAAAGAAAGAGAAAATAGATAATAATAATAAAAAAGAGAGCTTTTAAAGCTAGGGAATGGGCTAGGGAATTTCGTGTGGCACACGACTCTAAAAATATAATGGAATGAACTGCACACGTTCTTAAAAACATATTCTCTTTGGCTCTTTTTCCTTCGAAATTACTACTATTTCGTTGCGCCTTTTCCGTCTTGAATATGATTGCTTGGATCAGTTTGTTTTACTTGATTTTTTCCATCATTTTTGTTTGCCTCTTCTTTCACCTCTTGATCTACTCCCGCTTCCACTTTGGAATTATTATTAACGTTATTGAGTTGTTTTTTTTCTTCACCTCCTTCTAAGCCATTTCGCAAGTACATTTCAATATGTCCTTGACTTTCATCTTCATCGCTCTCAGGCATAAATACATCATCTTCCGGGTTAGCTTGGTCTTCAAAATGTTCCTCTACAGACTCGGAATTAGTATCGTTAGGCTTTTTACATTTCTCCTTTGAATTCTTTACGATTTTCTTTTCATCCAAAGTTGTTTGCTGTTGTGTTGTTGGCTTCGTTGACCATAATTTATTCACCGTTCTCATAATGTTGCGTGTTTGATCTTGGAAGGCTTTCATTAGCATTAAGTCCTGTTGCATTTGAAATTCATGTTCTTGACGTATTAGTTGTTGTTGCGTTTTCAAGAAACTGTGCATCATTTCTTTTTGCATATCACGTAGCGACGTACTCACTTCTTGCACAACATGATTCAAAAGTTTTTCGTATTTTTCTTCTTCCGTTTGTTTGTTGTTGCTCTTAACGTTTTGTTCTTCCTCTTCGCTATCATCCGGTACCGGTTTGCGCTGAGAGTAGGCGCTTTGTATTTTCGGCATCTTTACGGCCATTGGGTTTTCTGGTTGCCAATCAAGGCGACGTTTTTTCTTCATATTATTGAAACTTGACTTTGAATGGGAAGACTCTTCTCGACCTTGCATTGATAACTGACTGCTAGAGGGAACATCGTCGAGGCGTCTTTGAGAGCAGGAGGAAGCTTCGGAGGCAGGCGGTGAAGTGGAATCATCTAAATCGGGTATAGCGCGATCTGGTCTTAGAGAGTAAGGCGTTTTACGCATTGGAACTTGTTTCAATTTCGGAAAGCTGGATGACGCTGACGCGTTCGAATTCCGCGAATGTATGGTGATTTCTTTGGATATACGTATAGGAGTGCGTATTTGCTGCGACGATCCAGAAAAATTCTGCATCACATTCGGGTGTGAGAACTTTATAATACCACCTAACTTGGACGTCTCATTTAAATTGGATAAACTGGTGACATGAATAGGTCGTGGAGTAGGTGGCATCGTTAAAGGCGGTGGCGGTCTGTTTGGCATATTATTTGCTTTAATATCGACCGTTTTCGCAAACGGCGCCACACGCAAAGGTGGCAACTTTGCCAGAGGGATGAGAGGCGGAGTTGGACACTCATTTGCCGTTGAATTAGGCGTAGAAGTGGCTTTTGGGGTTTGAACGAAACGTATAGGCTGTTTATTTAGCAGAATTGATTCAGTAGTCGGTGCAGTTATATTCTCTTCTGTTTCGAGCTCTGTTGAATCTTCTTCAATTTCCTGCTTAACTTGTACGCTTGAAGACTTATGCAGATTGCCATTGGCCGCAGGCTCTTCTAGGGGATCCTTGTCGGATACTGAACCATTATTTTCCACTGTTTCGTATCCTAAACAAGTCCACAATGGGTAACAAGATTTTTGTCGTAGTATTCCAAGAGGCGCGTTAGTTGTACAAAAAACGAAAAGAAGGAGAGAATTGTAACCCATAAGTAGCTATTTCTCGTTTAAGAATATAATAAAAGCGAAAGGAAATTCTTACCTGTATCAGCTGGCTCAGGTTTCACTAAACCTAGACGAAAACCAAATATCGGATGAGCTATATCCAAACGATCGTCTCGCTCGTCTGCGACGTCCGGTTCGTCGCTACCTCGTATTGTCGATACACCGCCTTCCACACCACTAATTATTATGCTACTGCTGCCTACGTTTGAGACGTCATCATCCATGGAACCTGTCGTAGAATTTCCGCAATCGCTTAGCATACCATTAGCCCCTGAACGATTATTTAACATTTTGTGTAATTCACTGTAAATTTCGGAGCACACCATACGTGGCATTATCCCCGTGCGGCGCGAGGTCATATAAGTGCTCTTCAAAAATTTCCATTTAGTCCAAATTTGCAGATGTGATTTTTTGCGGTAGCCACTTGAAAACATTATCTCCTCCACATCTTTGAAAACTTTTTCGCTTTTCACCGTCTTATCGTTTAGCAGCTCAAGAGCTTTTGTCTTTTGCATCGTCTTTAACATGCACATAACTTCATCGGAACGCCACAAGTTACGCTCGATACCCAAGCGACGCTTTTCAGGTCTATTGGATTTATCCGTCGACCGCGTATTGTGAATGGGCGTGAGAAGTGCATTTGAATCGTTGGCCATTGTCGTGCCATTAGTGGAAGCTAACGGTAATTTATTTGTTTGGCCTGCTTGGGACATTTTCAAACTTGAAAACTTTTTAAAGCTTTTCCCCACGCTGCCTTTGAACAGTGGTGGATAAGTATTGCTGCTCGATGGTTGTTTTAAACGTGTCAATAACATTTAATCGCCGTAAGTTTCGGACAAAAGCTGAAGTATGCGATACAAAATATATATAAGTTTTTGTAAATTATATCACAATTTGTGGCGACATTACGAATCCTTAAAGAAAAGACAAAAAAAGAAAAAAAGAAGACAATGATGATGTGGAGAGTCTTTATTGGCTTTTGCGTCATTTAAGTCGCAAGTTATTGTTACATAACTTAATAGTCTTGTGTCTTGTGTCTAGTTGTTCTTTCGTAGAGTTCTGAACACTTCATCTTAAGAACGGAAGTCATTGTCATTGCACAACTACCAATAATATTCTGGCCAGTGCGATCATCCTTCCAACGCTATTTAGTTATGAAGATAAAACTTTACCAACTTTCCGCCTCAATGGGCGAGTGCGCGTGATAGCGAAGCACGTGGCCGTGACAGATTGACTGTGTTTTGAGTTTTTCTGTCAAAGCTTCTTCACTTTTCAACCGACTGTTCGTATCGAACAATCTAATCAAGAAACTTTCCGTCAAATTCCTCATTACGTACTCACGATTACCTTAGATATAGAAAAATAAGAAACGATCAACTCTGTATTCAAATAGTTCTCCTAACCGATTTGTTTCGTATTCAATGCTTAGCCCGACTATGCATCATAGCAATTATTCTGGTTTGTTAATCTGCCCCTTACTGCACTTGCAGAGCTTCAGAATTACTTTGTGAAAAAAACTCCCATTAAAAAAACGCGCAAATTCTAGTTTAAATCGTCAGGGTAACCCATGTGGCGAAAAATGTGATTGAAAGAAAAAAAATTTGCAATATTTTGAAAACCGACGGAATATTTTATTTAACATGACAAGCAAGATGCCAAAGTACAAGAGAAAGCAAGTTTCCTTATAAAGTACTTTCGAAAATTTTCAAATATGAAGTAAAAGAGGGGAGAAATTGTGTGTTGTGTGTGGATCTCTGATCTATTGCACAGGTTGTTAGTTTTTCAAAATCAATGGAATTCATGCGATGTGAGAGATGTATGCATTTGACAGCACTGTGTATTTAACATGCTTCGCAACTGCATATTAAAGCGTAACAACGTATCATACACAGGTGCGCGCACTTAACGTAGTGTACCTAAAAAGTAATAAGCAGACAGGAAGGCTTGTTATGCAAACGCATTGAAAAGGCATTCATTTTCAATTTTCGAATCATTTAATTATTATAATTGAATTGAATCTCGGCCTAAGTAATTCTCAAGGTTATTTTAACAGAAAAATCAGAGGCTGAAGGATATGCAAAAATGATTTCGTTACATATGGAAAGATAGATGGACTTGTCTGTAGATAGTGTTTGCCTTGTGTGCATTATAAGAACAACATTAGAATAAGGCTTTGGGAGCGACTTTTTGATTCTATCAATGATCGGGGAATATAACGATAGGTCGATAAGGTTTATGCTCTTTCAAGTAAATAAGAGATTGTGGATCTATGTGATTGGCATCAAAAGATTCGAAGCTTAAATCTAACTTCTTCTCTAGGTCTATATTTTCCTTGTGCTCTTCCCTCATACACAAATGGATCTGGCAAAGGATTGCAGACGTTTGTGATTAAGTAACGCAGCGTGAATGAACTTTTTTCCCTTTTCATGTTTTCAGATGAATGATGATATTAAGGAAAGATTCGCTTTATTCTCTTTTTTATTATTATTTTTTTTATCTTTTGCCGTAAACGATAAAGTCTTTTAACCAACAAAAATAAATTTCAATATGTATAAAACGCGAACAGAATGCGGTTGAATGTGTGCGTAAAAAAGTACGAGAATAAATTGAATTCAAGTACACGCTATTATATATGTATGCATATGTGTATGCGTGTATGCCGCAAGAGTATTTGTTTATTTATTATTGTATTGTATTAGGCATAATAATTATTCATTTGTTGAAATGTTTATGAAAAATCATCCAAGAAAACTAAGCTGAGCAAGAAACGCTCGAAATTATAAAATCAATAAAACGAAATTGGTTTTAATAACAAGCACACGGAAAGGTGTGTGCAAGCGACAAATATTGAAAACGCCAAACAATGGGAAAAAGAATACGAAAAGAAGAACTCTGAAGGAAATCCGCGGACATCGTACTTTGTGCAGATGAACTTAAGATGATGATACACAATTTTTCGCAAATTTATTTTTCCTGTTTTCTCTCGGCATGAGGCTTACTTCGTTAGTTACTTAGTTAGTTAGTTAGTTGGTTGGTTGGTTGGTTAGTTAGTTAGTTAGAATTTCGGGAAATGAACAACTAAAGTCTTACATGTCTTTCATATGCTCACACTTACCTACTATTTCAGTTAACTGATTAACTTGTATTAACAAACATTTTGCAGTTTTTGTAAATGTCGTATATACATGTCTGTTTGTGTGTGTGTGTGTGTGTACGAGTGAATGATTTATTTAGAAATGATATCTCTTAAAAATCAAACCCCTCTACACCGGCAAGAGAGAAAGAGAACGAGAGCTTTTTTTTTTTTTATATGAAAATCATTATTTTGTGTTTTTGTTTTGAATAAAAACTTTTTTTTTCTTAATTCACACATAAAATGTTGTAACCGATTATTAGTAGTAGGTATGTAGGTAGGTTTGGTAGAGGATGTTTCTATACTTAGGCAAACACAACATGTGATGTTTAAATTATTTAAAGAGCAACAAAGCTGACTATAATCGCGATTGTTGTTGTTGCTGTCTCTGTATTTTGAATCCAATACCGAGAATTGGAAAACGCACTGAAAACTAACTAATTAAAACGGCCCAACAACGCTGAATGCCCGAAAACAACTGAAACGTCTGAAACGTATTGAGAAAACTTCAAAACGAACTGAACTGTAATGTAAAAGTCACCACAACCACCACCACCGTCACCACACACCACACACCACACACCACACCACTACCATCATCGACAATTGACGATGAAATGCAGAGAACACAGAATTTCAAACGAAAAACAAGTAAAGAATTTTATGAAAATCCCACTAAACTATAAAGAGCAACAATTTCAATACTGTTCGTAGCGAAAAACACATGCATGCATACAAATATACATGCATACATACCTTCATACGTAAGTAAGAAACAAGATACGAACATGAAGGAAATTCATTTTTTTTTTTTTTTTTTATCTGAAAGAAACGCGACAAACAGGTTAAGTAAAAGCGGAGAAGGCAGAAAACAAAGCGCAAAAAAAAAAAAACCCATAATAAAATTGTTCTTCGTTTACTAACTGGAGTTTTTGTTTCTTTTTTTTTTTTTTTCATAAAAAATTCGAAATATATATAAATAATTTTTAAAGTAATTTAGTCTTCGGAAAAAATCCCTTATTTTAAGCTTTGTTCCATTGCCATTTTATTTCGTTTTTCTTTCTATTCGATTTTCGCTCTTTGCTTTTTTTTTTTTCATTTTTTCCTGTGTTTTTCGAACAAAAATATATCAGTCTTTTATTTTGTGTTTTTCAAATCTTCGTTTAATACTGTGTTTCGTTATTCTTACTTAAGCTTTATTGTTATTGCCGCTATTGCCGCAGCTGTTGTTATTGTTTTTGTTGTTGTCGCTACCATTATTTCTACTTTTGATGTTTCATTTCGATTCGACGCAGTTTGAATTTGTATCGTCGCTCGATTTTTTTTAATAATTGTTTTTTAACTTTTCTCTGAATATCGAACAATTTTGTTCGTCTTATCTTATAGAAGAAGAACAAAAAAAAGTTTTTTTTATTCTCTTAATATTAACATTACTAACATTACTGAGTTCGTGTTTGACTTTAACGACTCAATACTTTCGCTTTTTTGACTTTTATTTTTAATATCGACGATTGAGCAGAGAGTATTGTAAGTTTACATGCTTTTTTTCCTTTTTTCTTCTTCTTCTAAATACTCAATGACGCATAATTTTCTGCACTTTTAATATGAAAAATATTGAAAAATATTTATTAGGAAATCTGATTTATATTTAAATAATGATTTTCATAATATATTTGGTTTTTTATTTTTTTATTTTTTTTTATTTTTACTTAATAATGTTGACTAAAGCCAAGAGCCTTAGATAATAATGCTTAAACGCTTTAGTCTTTCAATTTATTTCTCTCACTTAACTAACTAATTATAATAATAATAATTATAATAATGCTAAGTAGGTTTCAGGAACTTCTTGCAGATGAGTGCATTCCTATGTCGGCAATGTATCTCTTGCATCAGTTTCTATGTCGAACTAGAGTCGAGTCAATTGCATTATTTGAAGCTGTTTATGAAATAATTAGATAAAATAAAAAAAATCAGGAGACCACAAGGTTAATTCTTTGGACAGACTTGTAATAAATTGTATGCACATAGATATAGTTCTGCGCCCAATAAATAGGAGAATTTATCAGAAATATTTTGTTTTTTTTTTTTTGAAATTGCACTGTGACAGAGATCTGTATCGAATTTCACATCATAAACAATGCTTTCTGACACCAGAATGTCTTGCAATCCAAGGAATATTGCTTGACCGTTATGTACAATGATTTGCATGAAGCTATTTGCAAAAAGAGGCCGGAATAGGCTTAAAAACGAAAAAATTAAAGTTGTCATACTTCTTGGACACAGCAGCACACTCTCTCGATCACTATAAACTACAAAAGAGTTAACCTTGTGTGCTCTTACCTCCGCATTAAAAGAAATGGAAACAGAATAAAGGTATGTGACACGTACAAGCTATTAGTTGCGTCTTCTTCTCCTTGCGAGTAGCGTCTTGAGAATGAAGAAACCTATTATGATGATGCCGCTAAACGCCAGAGAGGATGCTATGGCCAATGGCGTTTAATGCTAACGCTTTTTTGCTTGTATTGCTTGAAAAATAATTTTTGTGCAATGTGACTAAAATAAGTGAATAAATTTAATTTTCATTGCCTTGAAACGCACAGACGTGCTAGAGACTATTGGTTATGGATTAAAGTTAATTATACGTGCGTTTTATGCAAGCAAAATGAATAATTTCTCGTCGTTCCTAAGACAAAATATGTCGTATGATCTTTATATCGACCAGTGAAGGCTCCTAACACCCAAATAGGAACCTTCAGAGATTCTGTAAAGTGCGTACACATACTAGCAATCAGCGTTATATTCTGAATCGATTTTGGTATGTCTGTCCATCTACGTAGTCTACATTGTTAACACTTTCCTTGTAGCAAAAAGGAAGATGTCGACTTCAAACATTGAAAATTCTTGCTCGCGGGCCCGTTTTGGAAATGAGCGCAATTGGGCCAAAGACAAACGGTGAAGGGTGTACAAGACTCGTCCTCAATCGCATGCGATACATTTATACGAAAGAAATAAATTGTAGCACTACAACGCCGGATAAGTATTAAGTAACCAAGACTGTCGGCCCTTCTTCTTCTTCTTTCTTTCGAACGATTGCAATATTCGTCACTTGTTTTAATCTAAACTTTAAATTTGATTTCTTTTGCTACTTTATGTTGTTTGCTGCAGAATTGCCCGCAAGTTAATGACACTGTTCATTTTTTTTTTTAAGTGTAGTATAATAGTCAAGTCTATGCGGTTCTAAAAACGGAGATGATCTATAGATGATCTATGGACTAAGTCGCTTTTATTTAATATTATTGATTATACGTTGAGGTTTTTTTTTTTTTTTTGTTCGCTCCGGGGATGTGTCCTTTCCGTGTAATAGCGAAAAAAAGTGGGGAAGTTTTGCCTTTATCGACTAAGCACTCACTATAGCTACGATCAGTAAACCCTATCGCACAGACGGTTGAATCCGCGAATACATGCTTGGTAGTCGCGATTCTTACCTACTCGACTACTCAGGCAGTTGTTTAGAGCAGATGGTCAAAGTAAGATTGCATGGGGACCGGGGGGCCTTCGTCGGCTCATGGCAATCGTGTTTGCATATGTGGATTAAAGCTTCTTGAAACTAAAAAAGTGAATTCTCATGTAAATTAATATAATTAAAAGTTTTCTATCGGCTGTAATAACGCTTCAATGTCTTTTAGGTGCATACGCACGAAAACAAGAGCACTTAACTTGAAATAATTATTTATCGAAATTTGTATTAATAGAAGTGTAAAAATCGTCATTTTATGCTGAGAGAGGGAAAAATTATGTATTTTCTTTTTATGCAGTAGGAGACTTGGCCTTCGCATCTACTAATTACTAATTACTTAAGGTAAGTTAAAAATTCGGTCTTTTTTTTTTTATTGCTCACTTATCACGTGCTTATTAATCTTTCAAACTGTAACGAATTTTTCTAAAGCGTTTTCTTGTTCATGTCGTTATTAAAGTAAATGTTTTCAGGCTTCTGTTAAATTTAAATTTTTTTATTGGATGTGCGTGTACAAAAGTCTTATGAAAATAGGGAAAATTAGTCAATGGTCGAATTACAAATACCTATCATCAAATATAATTCGCAACAGAAAACTTGAGATGCAGCAGTAAAAGCATTTCGCAACTCGTAAACTCTTCGTTTTGTCATATTGATGTGCGTAAACGAAGCGATTCCTCCACTTTATGCACAGACAGTAGCACGAAACTCGCTTATGTTACGATATTCACCCATATTAATGTGCCAAAAAGGATCTCATGATTCATTACTACGCAGCCTATTAAAGCAAAAAAAAAAAAAAAAAAGAAAAGAAAAACCGGTTTTTTTAAGAATTCTCTTCATCCGCTGCATGCTATGCTATTAAGCGCTTTCAATAGATGTAAAAAGAAGAACAGTTGTTACTGCTACGTAAACGGAAGATACGAGTCTTGTCCTCACTACGTTTATCCTAAAATCTCTAAAAAGTGGATAATTAATATTTTATTAGAATTCTATACAACGTAGACTTTTGTACAATTTATTAACATTTTTGTACCCTACACCATTTGATAGTGCTACGGGAAAAATATGCAGTACAGGAGTGTTTGTGCGGATGTGTCGGACACGTAAAAGGAATTTGGGGCAAAACTACTATTTATTATATCGATCGATTCAGAAAGTGATTTTGAATCGATCTAAGCTTGTCTGTCTGTCGGTCCGTCCGCGCGTCTTTTTTTCCTCCGTTCAATCTAATGATAACAAATTTGGGAAATTTGATGGAATTTGCTACACCGAAATGTTTTGGGCCGAGGATGAAGGCTATTGAAAATGATTCCGATCCGATGATTATTCCGAGCGTTGCGCTTACAATACTTTATTTCGAAAAGTCATTATATGAATAATTGCATTAAGCATACTCGTAGGGTGGGCCATGTCCTATTATAGTGTTTTTAGTTGTTGTTACCTTATATTCTCCGTTCCCCTAATTTCTCTCTTCCCAAGCAGATATTTATAATACCGAGAATGGTTTCAAGTCAAATTTTACTATCGTTATTTCTTTGCTTCTTTGCTGTTCAACATAAGATGCAAAGTGTTCGAAACATTTTCAGTTAAAAAAAGGAGATGAATAAAAAAATTTTTAGTTACGTGTTTAGTTTAAACTTACCTGCAATCAGTGTTCTCTTATATCGTTTATAAAATAGTTAATATCCCACTTATCTTATTTCTGAGTGATTTCAAACTAATTCCGAATGGGAAATGTAATCGGTCTCGAACTCTGTCATTATTCTTGAGTAGATACATACGAAAGAAAAGAAACGAAAAATAAAACACAAAATTTATTAAAATCATGTGTAGTTTCGGTCTCTCTTCGTAAACGAGAATTAAAGCAACTAAGGAAAGTGCGAAAAAGTTGAAATGTTTCTTTTTGTGCTTTTGTGCATTCGTTGCGGAGACATTTGTGTAGAGTTTTTCATTTCTTAACTATTTTTCATTATTTCATATACACATTTCTCCGAACGTTCATGAGAAAGAAAATACGTGCAAGCTATAGAAACTTAATACAAATGTGGTGGAATTTTTAGCTTTACATTAAACTTATCAGTAATGTTTTTAAATATGATTTTTGTTACGCAAATTTAAAATGTTTTGATGGAACTTATGAACTGGTGGTCGAAGAAACCGATGTTGACTTAAAAGGAACGAAAACAAAAGAATTTAAGGTAAAGGTTAGTTCTACAAGGTGAAATTGTTCATTTCATTAGACAAACGCATCGACAGAGAGATTCGAATTCATTAATGCTCTTCAATTGGAAAA